GACCTCACTGACATTGGTCATGTTCAGTGATTGTCAGCTTTTAAAGTATTGTCTATTAACTGTGTCATACTAGAGGTTAAATTAATGAACTTTCTTTACCAGGAGCATGAATTTCTATATAGAACATACACCTGGAATTCTTATATCTAACATATAAAAATTAAATGACTTATTAATTATTGTGCAGGGTAAGGCATGGTTTAAAAAAAAAGTCCTATAAGATAGTGGTTTAAACACTATTATGAGTCTAGAAGTAGGTGACCTAAATCTAGCACATCAGCTCCACATCGATAAGCAGCTTGCCTTTTGGGATCTGAGGTTCTATAATCACTTTGTCCTAGACAACCAGGACAAAATGGCAAAAGGGAGCCCAGTTCCATCCAACCCTTTAATTGGCAAGGCCTAGAAATGTCACAGTCTACTTGTGCTCACATGCCAGTAAGCTCTGCGCCAGCTGTAACACAGCTGGTTCCAGTGAGAGTTCATCAACAGTCTTTGTGGTTGGGTGGGGTCGCTGACTCTTCCCCATGCCTGCTCACGAAAGTGCTGAGTTGCACACCAGCGTCACCCTTTTCTGGTACTTCAGCCTGCAAGCAAAACATGGTCATGCCCACAATTATCTTGAAAACTTTGTGTTTTTATTTTTTAGAGCATTTATATATACCTTGATCCAATCGTGCAAAGCATTTTTAAAGGTACTCCTTTATGCTAAATTCTATAACTGGCATTGACACTGTGCTTTGTAAAGGCTTGTTTGCTCCATGAGTTTAGCATCACAGCCAGACCATACTGAGTGAGAGGAAGTACTTATAATAAATATATTATTATGTTTTATAAATTTTAGACCTTCATGTAAGTGCAGGATTTTCTAGGTACTTTTTAATAACTGTAAAATATAATCAATCTCTAGAATTCTTCTGTGTCTCACACACATTCATGTTAATATGTATCTGAAATAATTACATTTCTTAGCTTAAAACTCTTTGTCCTATTCAACATTATGCAGCAGAACTCGCTGGGCACTGGCTGGTGCTACTGTACCTGTGACCTGTGTGAAGGCTTGGAGCCTTGTAATATTACTGCAAGGACTGAGAAACCAGATTTCAAACTTTTTTTTGTATTGGCGAATTTAAATTTGGACAGCCATATACACCTGGAAACTGCATACAGAGCTCTAGTCACTTCCTGGCCCATTGACTGACTTATTTCACCCTTTACTGGGTCTTGTTCCTGCAACTGCCCTCAAGTGAATTCAAATGCTCAATGTTCATGTGCTTAGTGTCTTATTCTTTAGCTTACTAAATGTTGTGTGAATTTAGACAGTTGAGTAATCATAACTACATGTAATATTTATTAAACATATCATGTATTAAGCACCATTTTGAGCCCTTAATATATAAATTATTTCATTACTTCAAGGAACTTACATTGCAACAAAAGGAACTTTGATTATAATTATTATCATTTTTTAATATATAAACTGACACAACAGCAATGTAATTTTTGCCTAAGATCAAATAGGTAGTGAGTAAAGTAGGATGCAAACCCCCAGGAAACTGGCTTCAAATAATCCTAGAGTCTCTCTCCAGTCTTCATTATTTCATCATCCAGGAAAGTGAGATTTTAGCAGTGGTTCTTTATTTGAAATGCATCACAGATGAAGCCTTCCAAGAACATTACTGCTTTATGCATAAAATAGGGAAATATATTGCCTCTGGCAAGAAGGGAAGAAAAAGAACAGCTCCTTTTCCTTTTTTTGTCCTCTCATACAAAGAACTCATGTTTGTAAAAAGGTGAATCAAATTGTCTTCTAACTGAATTTGCTAATTTGGCAATAGGGTTTCATTTCATCAGAGTGATGCCTAATAAATTAGTAGATGAGTGTTGATGAACAGGTGCTATGTTTTCTCTGATTACTATGAAGGTTTACTCACTTTTTTTCCTTAGTACACTAACCAAAGGATTTTAAAGTAGTCAGATTTAATACAGGTTAAACATCTGTAAGTTAAAATTACTTCAAAGTGCACTGTCCATAATTAAACAATCTCACCTACTATTGTAGAATGAGGATACCTTTAGGTTTCAAGAAATCTGTCATTTTAAGCATGCCTTCCAGCCTCTTCCAGATTACTCATAAAATTTCTCATTCTCTAAGAAATAAATGTCTCTGTCAAGTCAAAAGTAATACAAGCACATGATGGAAAAAGGGGACTTTTTAGTTTTATAAGGGATATTGCAGGGTTGCCAAATTGATTTTATTCCTTATTATTTAGGTTCTCATAGTCATTTTAGGATTTGCCTTCTGGATATAATGGAAAAGTTATGATACCTTTTAGAGAGGTGGGCAGCAGAGGCCTGTGGGGAGCAGGAGAAGATTTTTTCATATGAAATTCTTTGTCATAAAATGCTAATGTTGGTGTTCTTGTCTTTATGTCTATGCATTCTTTAGCTATGAGGATAACAGACCCTTCATCAAGTAAGAATGACCTGAATGGCTGATAAATTCCATTTATCAGTGTGGTCCCACGAACCAGCTGGCAGATCAGTATTGAAGTATCATTAGAGCTTCTGTCATTCACATTGAGGCAGAAGAGCAAACTGTACAGAAAAATACTGTGGCGTACAATTTAGAAGCAGAGTAAATATATTGCAGGTGCATTGCTCCTCTAAAGCTTCTGCTTCACCTCTGTTAATTGGATATTACTGCATTTGGTGTCACAGTAAGAGCGATTTCCTGTGGTGCAGGCTCGTCTCACATCAGACACTTTCCTCCTTACATGGTGATGTGTTGGTCTGTGCCACATATGTCCAAATTTCTGTTATTTGTTTGGGCATCATTCATCTAAAATTATTTTATGATTTAAAGCTAAATTTTTAAGTTGATCAAATGGATATAAAGCTACCCAACTTCAACTGATGTTAATGAATCGCTACTTAAAGATTTCAAAAGGCAAAAGAAAATACGTTCACAAATTAAATTTTATACACGTATGATCATCCCTTTAAACTTTGGTGCCTATCATTTGATTCATAACCTAATTGTTGATGAATATATTTAAGTTTCTGAACCAAAACTACAAGTCTGTCTTTATCTAGTACATGTTAATATTTGGATTTTTTTCTATATATCTTAAAATTACTTGTCCTGCAAGCATAAACTAAGAGTGGCCAACTACGGGTGACCTTGCTGTAGACTTTCAGTTTGTTCTTCTGGTGAAGAGTCCTTTGTTTTCATTTTACCCAGTGCCATTTCACTTGCTTCTTCATGCTTTTGCTGATTATTTTCCTTGGAAATTGGAGCTCATGGAAGCTCTGCATCACATGGCCTTTGGGTTCATCATGTGTTTTCTAGTGGATAAGAGTTGACTTTAGTATTTCATCCTGTCATTTTAATTCTCAATTTAAACAGCAAATTTGCCTTAATTTAATGATGATTATTTCCATTTTTCCTTTTTCCATCTTCTATAAGAAGCTAAGATTTTTTTCCTTGAATATCCTCATATTTGAGAATTCAGCAAAAGAGAATATTAACATGTAGGATATTTCTTAATTCATTAGCTAACATGCCACATGCCATAGTAAAGTCCTTTAATGGTTCTTTATTTAAGAATATTGCTGGTAAACATTCAACATTTCAAACTAATCTTGCCTTTAACTCTGAAATACAGTTGGGGATTGTTTTGGGAGAAAACACTTAGCAAATATCTATCATCCATTTTGATAGAACTTGGGAACTATATCTATCTTACATTGTAAATTTTTCAGAAAAATATATCATACTGAGCTTCAGATTATCTTAAATACATGCAATTCTTTTACCATCAGTTTGCAAAGTTTTAATCCCTGTAATTATTCTTTGTTTAGAGAAAATAGATGGAGGACAAAAACTGACTGGAAAGAAATATTAGTGCCCCACTGGAAGGAATTATAATATGAGAAAAAGGGGTGGTTTTGTGTGTGTGTAGACATTTTGACTCTTTGGTCCTGTTCTCTCATATAGGTAGACTTAAAGAAAGCTAAGGCAGGGTTCAATTTCAGTTATTGGAGTCCCATCTGTAAAAACAACTTATTTTATTTTGATAGTACAGAACATAATCACAAATATATCAATCATTTCTCACCCACTTCTTACTATTGTAAATGGCAGCTCAGAGAATGGAAAGAGACTGAGAGTTCGTCTTGCACACTGTCCATCCCATTGCCAACCCCTCTACCATTGCCATTCTAGCTTCATGCTCTCCCTGGAGTTTGCACTTTAAGGAGATAGAGATGCTCAGAGCCTTTAAGCTTCTTTCCAGAAAAACTGCCAAATGTCTGATTTCCAAAGTCAAGCCCAACATAAACCTAGAAGACAGTAATCCAAAGTCTGGGAAAGAAGGACAGCTTGAGGGATCCTGTAGAGGGAAGTGCTTTTTCCCATCTACTGTATTACAGTTTCTCCACATAGGTACAAAATCAGATCGACAGGACGTTCTAAGTCCATATATGACCAGCAACTACTAGTTCCTTCAAATATAAGTTACATTTTTGTCAGTCACCATGATTGTTTTTTTTTTAAAAAAGAGGAAATTTGGAAAAATGGGATAAAATGTCTCTGATGAGGCATAGAGGAAACACAATCTTAAAAAGGCCATAGCAATAAGCCCAGTGGAGACTAACATAACTTCATAGAAGTTTTCCCTCTTGCCATTCTCCCTAATTACATCTTCATGCCATTTGCATATATGCTGCAAACACATGAATAATTTATGGCACAAATCTGCTTTTGCTTCAATTAATTTCTGTGTTCATTACATTTCCATTCATGTATAGTTCCTCAAGCTTGATTACCTTTAGCCCCCATTCAAATCTTAAAGTACTTATGCCACCTGTCTTACATTTCTTTGTCAAAAAATACCTTGCCGTAACATTTCTTCGGTGTCAATATTGCTGGTATGAGATGGTTGTGTTTACTAAAGGCCTATTATTTAATAACCCTAAGTTTTCTTTTCTCTCCACAGGTCGTGGGTGATAGGTGCAATAGCCCTGCTCTGCTTGTTAGGATTGACCTGGGCCTTTGGACTCATGTATATTAATGAAAGCACGGTCATCATGGCGTATCTCTTCACCATTTTCAATTCTCTACAGGGGATGTTTATATTCATTTTCCATTGTGTCCTCCAGAAGAAGGTAAGCTCGGATTCTATTTTCAAGAATAAATGGAGTGTGTTTCATGATAGCAAAGCAATTATAACATACTTTGATATATCAACCTAGATACACTTGGCTGTATGAAATAAACATTTTCTTATAATACTAGAGACAAAATATACACAAAATGAAAGCCTAAAAGTTGGTGTGCTTAATAAAAAGAAATAGTTTATGATTTGGGCAATGCACAAAAATTATTTTCTTGTTGACTTACCCTTACAGTCTTTTGTGTATCCATGGACAGACAAATTGAATTTGTGCATTAGGAGAAGCTCTTTTCTAAAGTGGGTGCATGTCATTGTACAATTCTGTTTCTTTAAAGATTATTTCATATCACAAAGTCAAAAGTATATTGGTGTTTTTAATCTATAATTTAAAGGTATCTTTTATACTAATTATGAGTTGAGTGGTTACATTGAATCTTTAAGTTTTATATTGGTTTACTTTATAATTTATTACATTTACAAGTACACAAATTGTATTTTCAAGGTTAAGTCTAACTAAAATTTTTATTGAATTTTTAAATTGCAAGATTAATTTTCCATTCTTATATTTCTAAATTTTATTTAAATTTTGATCTCACATTGCTATCCTCAGTGTAGTTGCTTAGCTTATAGATATCAGCATATAGAGTTAGTCAGGGTGAGAATTCTACCCATTAACTGCTAGTTTCAAAAACCTGGTGGAGATTCTCAGGACCATTGCCCTAACCATCTTGTATATACAAATGTATGGTTTTGCCCCTGAAACATTTCCTAACTTTTCTCTTTACTCTCTCTTCATTGTTCAATCCTTAAGTTCTTGCTTTCCATTTAACTGTATTATACCTTTCAATTTTTATTTCTTCTTTTGAGTTCTTACACTAGGGAAACCATATGATGTTCACACATGTGGGTCTGGTTTATTTCTCTTATGAGTATATCTTCAAGTTGCATCTTAACCATGCAGCAGAAGAGTATAAACATGAGGTATAAAAAGTAAAACCATATTAATATACTGAGCTGTAAATGGCTCAAGGCAACAACGTCTGACATTGCCAGTTCTGCTGATAACCCACTACTATTATGGACTATTGGACTATATTGGGTGATTTTGCTGAATTTATGCACCTATAATATTTGAATGGCAATGGAACACCCTCTCTGACAAAGCAAAACAAAAAAGGGGGAATATAAATGACCATTTTGCAGTGAATATATGTGTGTGTGTGCGTGTATATATATATAATTATATACAAAATAGTTAGGATAGATATATACCTACTTTATCTTAGTTCAGTGAGAAGAAAGATTTGTACTAATATTGTTTAGACAAGATATCATGTCTGCATCTTATACTCTGAATAACTACTATGAAGACAACACTAAGCAATGTATTAATTATTGTAGCTGTCCTACTAACCTGTTTTGGAACTGTGTCATTGTTATTTCTTTCTCATTAAAATTAATAAAATTAAAGAAATAAAGTTCAAATTTCATTTAAAATGCAAAAAATAAATAAATAAATTTTGATGTCTATGGGGCTGGTGAGATAACTCAGTGGACTAAAGCACCTGATTAGGCAACCTTAGGCAAGCACAGGGACCACGGTTCGATCCCTAGCACCACATGCCATGCTAATCTTGCCCTCAGGGTGGGCTCGGCTGGCCAGAGTCCCAGCAGAGTGATGCATGCCTATAATGCCAGCACTGGATAGGCTGAAAGTAGGAGGATCACCATGAGTCTGGGCTGTGTAGTGAGAACCTGCAACAATCAAACACATTCTTTAAAAATGGTCTGAATATCTCTGGTCATATAGATCCCTTGGCTAGCCTGTTCTTGGTTCATCCACTCAAAACCTTGGATCATTTGGAGTCATTTAGTTAATCTCATGTTTCAATTTCCTCATATGTGACAGAGGTGATCAATATAATTATGAAATACTAAAAGATATGGCTCTAAAAACAATGTACAATGTAAAACTTTCTCAGAATAATATAAGAACCATAGTTTGGCCTTAGAGAAAAAACAAAATGTAGAAACATCTATGTCTGGAATATTTTATTTGAGACCCCAAAACAAAATAGGAACCAAACAGAAGTTGGAAGAAGTTAAGAAGAGTGTCCACTTATCAAGATGAACAAAAATAAAAGAAAATTTTATGTGTTAAGTATCTAAAATGCGCTGTCACGTTCAAAAATACAGGAAAGAGAAGTAATGATAAAGCTAATAAATGTGAGATGAATCAAAATCACATGTGTAATCACTGTATTGTCTCTCTAGTGTCAAAAACTGAAAGACTAAATAAAGCCAGCCAAAGCTCAGTGCACTAACGCACCTGCTTAGGCAGAGCACAGGGGCCAGGGTTCGATCCCTGATGTGCCATGCTGGCCCCACCCCTGGGGCATGTTATGACAGCGACTGAGACTGGGTACGGTGGCGTGCACCTGTAGTCCCAGCGTTTGGGAGGCTGAAAACAGGAGAATCACTATGAGTTTGATCTACATAGTGGGACCCTGTACAAAAAAAAAAGTAAACAGCAACTAAAATGTACAATAGATATAGTGGAAAAGAAATTGCTCAAAAGGAAAGAACAACTTGGGGAAAAAAAATGTATATATAATCTTTGTACTACTAATTTGCATTAATTCATTGAAATGAGCAGTTACTGCTCATATTATTTCACTAATTCTGTATGCCTCTATCTGGTAATCTGAGGAAGTACTTTGAAAATAATAATTTGTAATATGATGACTATTGTTAATTTTCTATCATCTTGTTTTGAAATTCTATATCATTTATGTTTTTTGTATCTTTAAAATTAAAGGAAAAGAGCCCGGGAGATGGCTCAGTAGATTAAGTGCCTGCCTGGCAAGAGTAAGGTCCTTAGTTCAATCCCTGGTACAACAAAAAAATAAGAAAAAGAAAAAAGACTACATTAGAATAAATGTATTTTAAATATAATCAGTTATAATTGACCTGATGCAATGTGGTGATATTAGAATATATAAACATTTCCAAATAATTAAAATTGCCAAAAATATTGCCATAGCTCTATTCAGTACATGTTTTATTGCAATAATTTCCCAGTGATGAGGAGACCCCATGGAGGGACACAGACTGATGCGCCAATCTCAAAACAGCAAAACCTTGGATTGCACAAATCTTTCTGGAAACACACTTATAATCTAGTATATCAAAACTAATTTTCCTTAATTTCCTGCATCGTGGACATACAGATGATTCATTCTACAGCTCAAAAACACTTATATAAAAATGATGATGATACTGTAATACAATACTAAATAATAAGCAAAATGAAGACTATAAAGAATAAACAAATAAACTTGAAATCCTTTGTGGCCATTATGAAGGAGACGGAGGGGCTTTACTGTGCAGGGCCACTTTCATGATCAGTGATGGAATCACTGCGATGTAGTACTGGGTGGAATCTTTGTTCTTTACATGCAGCTTCCACAAGGAATGTATCCAGTGACTCTTGCTTTTCCTTCCTTCTGAGGATTTCACAAAAATGGGACATTGCATTGTCATTGAACAGATTCACTGCTCACACTGCTACAGCCTTATTTGTGTGACACTGCATTACAAAATGTTCAGCTTTCCACATTTTACACATATCCCTCTAATCGTATTTAGAGTGAAGGATTCCTCCGCATTTTTCTCATCCTCCCCTGCAGATATGATCTCCTTCATAAACACTCAAGGCTGGAAGATGATCACCCACAGTTTCAAAGGGCGCTGAGGGGAGGGACGATTGGCTTGGTGTCACCATGTGACTCTCGGCAGCCGGTGCTACTGGTATTGCAAGATATTGCTCGTGTACCACATTTAAATTTACTGGAAATGTTTGCTCGTCTTACACAACATGGGCAGTACAGGTGCCTCATGACCCAAGGTCTTCCTGGATGGGATTTCATGGTCAACCTGGGTGCTGGCATACAGCAAGCAGTCGGTGAGAGACAGAGAGAGCCTGTGGAAGTAATCTGAAAGCGACTCACATTGCTCCTACTCTTAGCCCATGAGAGTCGATGGTACCAACTGAAGTGCAAGTGAGACTAAAAGACAGAGTTTAGCTTTCTTACCAAAAAAGAGGAGCCATGGGATTTTACCACCAGCCAGCATACCGGATAAGCTACATAGTAGGACCATTTAACTGATGAGAAAAAGAGATGGAGAGAGAGAGATGTCCAAGGAGAATGAGAATCATGATGATACCCTGGATTAAAAAACTGGGGAAATTTTCAGAAATTGTGGTTAGCATTCTGCAAGACTTCTGAGACATCCTACTAAATATTTGGGAAAGATATATAGACTGTGATAGAAGAGCTCCGTAACTGATCTTTAGGAAAAATACAAGCAAAGATGCGAGTGGAATCAGAAGGTTAAGCGGAAAAGTGACATTTGTCCATGAAAATAAGGTGTCCTGGGCTAAGACAGTCAATCAGACAATTTGAAAACAATAGCATATTGGATTCACTCTCATATCTATTTTATACATCAGCTAGAATTTGGAGCTAATTTAAGTTTTATATTTTAAAATAAAAATATCAGTTGTGTATGAAGCAGAAAAGAGGTGTGTGTACTTAACATGTAGACTAATTTGGCTGTGCATTTTATTAGTAAACAGCTATTTAGTGTTTCTAATTATTGCTTTTATTTCACTTATCTTACATCAAGGCATCACTGGGATACCCAAGAATTGCATTATTCACATAGAGGATTTTCCCCTTCAAGACAAATAAATTAAGACTCAACATAAG